TTTTTGAATAGCTGTATCCACGCTTCTGGTTCATATCTTCTCTGATATGCATCGATGTACACTGATACAGAAGCATTCGAAAACATGGGGCAACATTCCAGATAATTATGCTCAAACAGTGGAAGAGATATACAGAGCCGTAAGTGCATATCATAGCTCACAGGATGGTAGGAAAGCATAACACCACCGCTGCGGCTTGTCACTAACAGATGTGGGCAGTTCCTGATACTTTCTCTATCTGTAGCGATGCATCCGTTTCTATCGCAGCTGAAACGCACAGAGACCAGACTGCCGCGCCAGAGATCCCAGAACGATCGCGTACAATGAGTGAAGAAAAAGAAACAAACCTGAATTTATATAACCAATCATATACGGATTTCAGCAAAATTGCACAAGAAAGACGAAACCACCTCATGTTTTATGCATGCGATGACGAGAGATTTAGACTCTATCTAATGACTACGCTAGATCATCTCCAGCATTGCACTTGTCTAGCATTAGCAAAAGGGGTTATTAGCTATCTCCAGCCTTCTTTGAAAGATTTTCGGCACAATGAGGGACGGCCAACTTGGTGGCCTCCTGAAATTCCATACAGAGTTGGAGCCGTGTGTGGGGGAGGCGTAAGTATGTTCGATAGTTGCTTTAGAGCATTGCTAATATAGGACATATCAAGTGCAAGGGCTATCGCAGCCGCCCCCTTGTGAGACTAACCCTTCCATTGTAGATTCAAAGAACCAAAACTGACAGTGTGAAGTTTCTTGCCCCCGGTCGATATCCGTGGAATTGGTTCCTTCCAAGACGGAGGACTTCGAGACAACCTTGCTGCAGATATTGCGCGCCGACTATGTCGCCAAATTTGGCCCTCTCGAAAGCATCCAGCAAAGCTTGTATCCATGGGAACAGGTGTCACGGAGAGGAATCCCGACCGATCACCACATTTCCGGCATGTCTTCCGCGATGGCTTTCTACGGCGTGGATTTGATGCCTGGATGTCATCCATGGATACTGAATCTACGTGGTTGGAAATGATGGGACAGGTGGAGGATGCCTACAAAGAAGACTATCTTCGGCTCAATATTCCTCTCCGAGATATGTCTAGCGGCATAGATACAGTCGAGGTGATGATGAATACCGGAACCTCGTGATCGGTGCGGCCGGAAGCGCTAGGATGGCACGGGAGGCAGCAACAGCGTTGCTCGTAGCTCGATTATATTTTGTCCTTGAAAGTCTGCCCGAAGAGACCGGGACTCCATTCTGGTGCTATGGGACCATACGGTGCAAGGGTCCTGCCAAGCAGGTAGTCGATGCGTTGGGACACCTCTACCCGCAAGGCCTGGACTATATAACCGACTCCGACACGATCGGCTCACTCAAAGGCCAAAATGAACTCTGTTTGGCTTGTGGACGATACCGCCGACAGGTGTCATTATTTGTCGCCCATTTAGAAAAAGTGGTCAACATTTACCTCAAAAAAGATGCCAAAAGCAGATGGGGAATAAACGGTTTCCCGGGGAGCATGGCATCGTTTGCCAAGGATCAGGAATTCTATGCACCATTTGGCCGTCTTGATCATGGCCGATCGGGCTTGTCTCCATGTGAAAGTTGTGATGGACGGGAGATCCTGGGTAACGGGATGAGGCGGAAACGCTCATCAGCGGGGTCCCGAAACAGTCGCCCTAAAAAGCTTCGTTCCACGGATGAGATTGAACCTAACTGAAATTGTTAGTCATGCTAGCCGCGTAAAACGAATTTACGGTAATCATGGTAAAGCTGCTGCCCCCACGCTCTTTGGTATCGTGATACTTTGGATATTTGCATTATATACTTAGTTTTCGATTTTGTTCTGATTCAATTTATCAAACAATCTGTCCATCCACGCCTGGATCAGGTGACAATGTAACATCATAAAGCTGGTCTTATAAAGGGGCTTCAATCATTCGGTTTCGGTCAGGCTGAATTGCTCGTCTTCCTCTTATACTCTGCAATGACATATTCTCTGACCAAGTGAGGCGTATCCATTTTTACTTATCTCGGAACAAAAACAATGGGAGGCCCTGATCCTGGGCGATATGAGCGAACAACGTTCCGGAAGAGGACGGGTACCTTGCTAAGCAAAGCACACGAGCTAGCTGCCCGTTCCGGGGCGAATGTGTACGTTATAATCTATCATCCCCGCGCTATAGTGGTGTATAATTCTGTCGGAGACGGAGTTTTGGCCTCAATCCCATGACGCGCTCGTAAGTCCGCACCCTCGCCCAATAAAGTGGGGTCTTAATTGACATTCTCAGGAGAGCGAATACACCAGACTTCAGCGGTTATCCTTCGCCGACATGGAGAGAATAAAGAACTCCAAGAACGCCAATGAAGAAGAGTTGAAATGTTTGCTCCAGTACTATGAATTCAGGTCCAATTTACTGAGTTCCCTCTGCGAACAAATTCAAAAAAAACGCAAGTCGCTTCCATCGGATGAAGCTAACCCCAATCATGAACGCAGCATTTAAGAATCTCGCGAGCCCGAGGCTCTCCAATCCTGCGGTCCATTTTAGTGCCGCAGTTTAATAATAGTCTTGGTTTCAAGGAACGGAGATATCACAGGGCGATGGGGGCGCCTCTGGAATCGTGCGCGTAAGATATGTGTCGTGGTTGCCTGCAACATCTTGATGGCATGTACGTGTTGTAGCACTACCTTTATGTACGGTATCTTGGAAATCAATGATATTTATTTTGAACTCAGTGTTCCTCGACCAGTCGGTTTCCTCTGTTATAACCGTACGTTTAACCATTAGCTCTTCGAGGGAATCTCCACTAGAGAGGGAATTTTGAGCACTAAGGCCAACCCCAAGTAGGATCGCAGGGACCTTCCCATATATAAAGAGTGCGATGGTATTTGGATCACATAGACATTTCGACGGAACGTGGCTCACATGGAAAATCAAAACCCCCAGCTGAAGAATCTTAATCGTGCCTCGTGGAGGTCAAAATGTCGCAAAGACCTTGCGCAACACATCCGTAAGGCCATGCCTGACCCTAAATCCAAAACCCCCTTACTCATCTGCAATGTAGGCGAAAAAATTGGAATCCATCTGAAGCCCTCGGAGGTACGACTAAAATCCACCGAGGAGCTGCAATATATATGGAAGATTGATGATCCCTCACTTGAGCCCCTGTTTGATAAACACCTGAGCAAGCACTCGGTGGGAGCATACATGCAGCTGTCACAAGAGGTCGGCCAATCTTTCCATGCTGTTCGGCATCAGGGTATTATGCAGGTGAAGATTGATCACATCCAAATGTCATTCTGAATTCTAATATATAGCGGACTAGCGACCCTCAAACACTGTGTTGGATGCACAGTACCAGCAAATCAAAGGAGAAAACGCTCAACTCCTTGAAAGGTTACACCTGGCCGAAAAGGATAGAGCAGGACTAGAATTGGCGAGAGCCAAGGCAGAAGACGAAGTGCAGGCCCATAAAGCTATGATTCAAGAGTCTATGCATCTCCATCAGCAGGATATTCAATACTGGATGACTGTGGCAGCATACTATCGAACAAATTTCACAAGATGCGTCGATTCGCTGAGGCAATTGATCGTATTTGCTCAAACTGTGGAGTCTGAAGCCTCAGAACTCTTGTCTGAATGATATGGCAAATTATAATTACTTAGTTCCCGGGAATAAATGGAATTTGCCCCAGGTAGTCACGTTAACGAGACTAGTAATCTGCTGCTATGAAGCCACTTAAAAAGGCGATGAGCAGATGATCTGCCGGTATAGATATCCTGCAGTGTGCTATCCGTGAGCGATACAACACACTCAACCATATCTAGGACTAGTCGAAGAAATTTCGAAGACCTGTTAATGTATTACATGAAGGTATAACTGAAAAACGTTATGCTGGGTTACTTGTTTGCTTCACCTCTCTTTTTCTGGCTTGATGCTATTATCACAAGACGTAATTTCTATATAACAGCTGGTGTTTGACATATTCAGTCCGAATGTGTTTGGTGCTATATTGCCTCAATGGGACAGTCATCAAAAAGCGAACAGAATGGGAGTGCCCACAGGGTTCTAACCATTCGCTCGAAAGAACTAGGGGCAGGAGAGTTGTGGTTCAAGGTTATGGGCATGACCGTTGCTGGTCAAGTAGGTGTGTTTCTGCGGGGAGTATCATACCTAATGGTCACTAGGCTAGAAAAAAAGAATGTATGTGAGAATGGTCGTAATTTGATCTTGTTCAGACATACATGAGCCATGATACATATCTGTTTGTGCGCACTCTCCAGTGTGACTTGAAAGTGCGCCTCGCCTATTCGTCCGCGTATATTTGGCACAGAGAATGATGGACAACTTTCAACAGAGTAAGTGTGATTGTGGGTGAGAACGTTTAGCCATCTGGGTGATGCTTGATTAAGCCTAAATTCTCAAGAAGACTGTCCAGTTTACATGTATTGCACCCTGTTAACTTTTGTAGGATACAAATATGATGGTATATATAATAAGGCTGAACCTGGGCCGAGCAACCGATCTCCTACTAGGAAGATGATATGTCTATGTGAATGGCAGTTATTAGTGTTTCCTGCTTGTCGGCCGGAACACTTTTCAAGAATAAGCATTATCTCATAATTCCCTTTTATATGCTACTGACTTTAACAGAACACATAAGGATCAGTAACCACCATCTCTAATAAAATAAAGCTCTGAGTTATTTAAATTCCGCTATCTACATTGGAACCTAGTGAGTCATCCGTTGTGACTCATTGGGTTTAATAACATTGTCAAGTGAGATTTCGTTATTACTTTCCTCTCCGACATAACTGGAAACTGGGACTTCTACCGAAGTTATTTCCTCGGTCGAGCCTCCGGTTCCAAGGTGCGCATCTACCTGTTTGACGACCCAATCGACATCTGTAGTGTGTGATGTCGTCCGCTGATTTAACAAGCACATTGCTGTCTGGTTAAGATGCCGGTACATTTCAACGGTTTCCGGAAAATCACGGGCAATATTCGTAACCAGAGCGATCAGCTGGCTTTCATTAATTTGGTTGCTGTTTCTGTAAGTGACTAAGTTAATTCATGAACGAACAGTCAAGCTGGTAGGGTAACACTTACATTTCTCGTTCTAGCTGCTTAGAACAGATTAGAAGAACGCCAAAAGAGAGCCGAGCCGTTACCAAAAGCCACCTTCTAGCCAGCCTGTTTTCTTTTCGGAAGCGTTGTTTCCTCGCAGACCGTGACTGTTCTCCAACTGTGTCCCAGTCCTTGTATATTTCGGCCAGTGTAAGGCTGATAGCAAGGCCATCAACTCGTTGACGTGGTCTCTGGGAGATCCGTTGGCCTCGCTTTTTCTCTAGCTTTAAGAGATGCATATGCCGGATAACCTGAAGATATTGAATGATTTGAAAAAGACGCGAATAAACTTCTTGAGCCATATGTAAAAGGGCTAGTGGAAATACAGTGCCGCATTCATCCGAGGGACTACCTGTAGATGCATATGCCCCGCGCGTAGTAGAGAAAGGACCATGTTTTTCCCAGTAAGGCAGGAAGATTCGAATAAACCCAGGCGCTCGGCTATCAATAAGGCCTCTCGCATGTTGGAAACCAACAATGGGTGTTGTTTCGGTTGTATTCATAAAGTAGACATTAGGGCACTGGAAACGGAATATTTCTAGTAAAGAGAGTTCCGGCAGGACTTGTTGACTCGAGTTCATTGTTTTGTAGTTGAGAAGCTGGCTTTCTGTGTTTGATAGGTAAAAATGCCATCCATGTGAATATATGGGAAATCGTGCATGACTAAGTACTGTATATTATGCGCCGGAGTGGGCTCCAACTATTCGCACCAAACACTCTCAGGCTCTCGCGAGCCAATTTCGGTCCACAGGAAGTACACTGATGCTGGCGGAGAGAGTGGCCCCAGATGGTAATCTGGACCCACATAGCAGAACCTATGTCGGTACAACAGAGAAATGTCTGGGCATCTGAGACACCGAAAAGTACAGGCTGGTCCTTGTCATATTTTCACCATGGGATAAAAAAACCCCATAGCTGCTGCAGTAGCCACAATTCTAGTACTTTGATCGTTTCCAGGAGTTTTCCTGGTGACATTGGTTTAATTTATTTCAGTATGGTATTGTTTGCGGAACCCGAGGAACTGCCGACAATGTCTCTCGCAGAATTGCCAACTGAACTATTGTGTTTAATTATAGACTATGCCCAAACTCACTGAAGCTTAAGGAATCTTTTACAGTCTACCTGGAGAATTCGAATTCATTGTGCTCGCTATTTATTTCGGACAATTAAAATTACTTTCTCAATAGCTGGCTTCAAACGCTTGCATGAAATGTCCAAATCCCACATTGCCCAGCATGTGAGGACAATTCGTTATGAGGCCCCCGAAATCATAGACCCTCGTTTATTATCAAATTATACTGAATGTATACGTACGATGCTGACTTCGGAGCAGATGTTAAAGTATGGGATTACTTTCGCTCCTGCGTCTACACACTATCCGTGTAAAATAGAGACCAGAGAGTTCTCTCTTGGGTAACCCGTAGGAGAAGGGTCCTATACAGTGCGATATACTCTTACTTTGCGGCACTATCCCGTGAACAACAAACTATTCTAACAAAACGTATAGATGCTGTAGCTTTGATTCAGTGCATTCGCTTCTTGCATTTGAAAGGTATTGAGTTGCTCTTCATTAATAGCACCAAAAAGCCGTTTCGTTGGCTTGCAGGTCGCCTATTCCTTGATTCAAGAGATTATTCCCCTGCATATTTGGAGACAACTATAGATGCTATGATAGCAGCGAGGTGCAATGGGATTATTGTCCGAAAGTTCAAAGTGTCCGGATTCTATTCCAGAATTTCCATCTCAGGCCACTCTATCCTACTGCCGAAGATGACAAAAGCTCTTAATAATGGTGAAGACCTGTTACTTCTTGATAGCTCCAGACTTTTATATGTCCTCTGTCAAATCAAGCTGCCTTCTCTCCGTCAGCTTGAATTAGGAAAATGCTGCCTATCTGTTAAGGATCTCGAGCAATTCTCCCGCGAATACGCAGAAACACGCCACTACCTTCGTCTTGAGGAGACATGGCTTCCAGCACAGGCTAATCATGAGTGGAATATTTATTGATATTGGAGTACCCTTTAAGCAATTGTTAACGAGTTAGCTGCGATTTGAGGGTTGGGAACCTGCGAATACCTACCATCAACAAGGAATGGGGCGAGGGCGAGCATGAATCCAAAGGGATTGTTTAAATAGAACCTTGACGAAATGTCTTCCGAGCCATGAATTGGAATTTAAAGAAAACTGTTACTGATAACAATGAGGGTTGGGGTATTTGCTGGTTCAAATTTGATGTATGGAACGCTAAAGTGAAATTTGTTAGAGTAAGAGCTGCCGCTGTTCTCCGCTCTTACACCTCTACCTACTATTTTACTGTACAATAATATGATATATAGAGTATGGAATTTATTTCTTTCCCTTTCTTGAGATCATGGAAGTGTGTGTAGATCTGTCGAAGATAGCATGGGCTTTTTTTTGTCCGATCAACATTCACCAAGTCATAACTGACTAGTTACCATATAGTATCTAAGCAGTCCACTAAACCTAGTATACTGCAATTGTTGTTTATTAGAATGGAATAGAAAAAACTAAGCCCTGATGAGAGGGGTAGTACCGTATAGCCTCGATGCTAAAATCAAAACTTCGAGCTACTGTGATACCGAGCCGACAGATGTAAGGGTAGAGCGCTAGCTTGTAGCATACGTGGTTAACGTATGTATGCGCGCGACAACGAAGAGGTCCGCACAGGTTAGACTTCTCTGCGACCCCTATGAGGGTCGCGGCTTAGCTAGTCACCCTGGACCCGATGAAGGCATCACGTAAATAATATATAATGCCTATGGCTATCAGTGCTTTCCTGCCGTACTGTCTGCATTATAGCGAGTCACAACATGGCCACTACAGAATTTTACCATTACATAAAATCGGTTGATATGATTTATGCCGTTGCACTTGGAGGCATAATCGGCATTCTGGCTCTCTACACCAGTATTAATGGCTTATACACTATATTTTCGGGGTTTCAATACTATGTTCTGGCTAAATTAGTCCATCAAACACCATTCAGAAATATGTTTCGGCTGCCATCACCGCTGCATCTTCTACTTACACTAGCCTATCTAGTGGGGACAGGTGTCTGCAATTTGATCGGCGTCCAGTCTCTGCGAGAAGCAGGGTCACGAGCAGCCCTCTTATCATTGATAAACCTCATTCCTCTGTTCATCTCTGGGGGGTATGAGTTCGGCGCACGTATTCTTAGCATTTCTCTTGAGACCTATGGGGCCTTTCACCGGACTGCCGCCTTTGTCACTGTTCTTGAAGCCGCCATTCATATCGTGATTGTCGCAAAGACAAGCTAAATTTCAACTTCGGATACCTTGCATTTTTATGGCATCTTGGTATAGTATCCCTGTTCTGAATACAAATTGAAAAAAAGCTTAGAAAAGGCCACCGCCACAGGCGGCATGTTCCTTTCTCTCGCCATACTTCCATTAGTCAGGAAAAGAGTATACGAGGTTTTTTTAAGGACACATCAGGGATGTGCAATAGTGGCACTTTATGCCATTTGGCGGCACACTCATACTATGCGAGACAGTCATGCCTGGGTATATTCCTGGGGCTGTGTCATAGTCTTCATTCTGTCACTCAGTGCACAAATAGCTCGACTAATCTTTCGAAACCTGGTTATTGGGAAGAAGTGCACAAAGCTAACGCTACATACCTTTGGAGAAAACATTGCTCGTTTGACGTTAACTCTTCCACGGCCCTGGGCTGTGCAAGCCGGAGAGCGTGTTGAACTGAGCGCTCCTTCAATCGAAATATCCTATTTGGCTCAATCGCATCCTTTTACCATTTGCTGGTGGGAAGATAATGACACTGGGGAGGCAGTTTCTGTCTCTCTTCTTCTTCGACCACGTTCTGGCTTTACCAGGAAAGTTCTAGGTCGCCTTGAGCAAGACAGAGAATACACTGCATGGTTCGATGGGCCATTTGGTCCTGTGTCTATCGGTTCTTATGGCTCTTGTGGCCAGATGGGAAACTACGGCCATATTTTCATGGTAGCTACTGGTATAGGAATTGCCGCACAGCTCCCGTACATCAAAGAAATTTTAACGCAATATCGCCGGGCGCGACTCCGGACGCAAAGAATTTCTCTTGTATGGCAGTTAGAACATGAAGAAGACTGGGAGGCCGTCCATAACTGGTTACAAATACTGGTAAAGCAGGATGAAGGACATGTTGTTTTATTCCGACTAAGGCCTTAACTGACAGTTATAGTTACTAAGCGTCACAATCTACGATGCACGAAATCCATCTCTAAAGGGAGACCGGCAGCTCCTCGGGTATCATGACCTGATCGAAGTAAACGGCGGAGAGCCAAAACGGGAGAAGGAAATGTCAACCGAGCTAGCAAAGCAGAGAGGCAGGATGCTCGTAGCAGGTAACTTTCGTGATCGACCTATATAATGAATTCAGGGCTGACCACATTGCCAGTATCTGCTCGTCGTCATGTGCGGGATCAAATGTCACGCCTAGTGATGGAGAACATGAAATGCGGTGTAGATATATTTGAGCACGAGTTTCAGCCGTGGTCTCAAAGAAGTAGTTGGTGGTCATATCTTATGCCATAAACTAAGCTACAACCGCAAGTATCGAGCCATTGTGTATACCTATGCATTACACTTCATCGGGTCTTTTGTTCTGGACTTAGACCGGACGACTACTAAATACTAGGTACAGGCCAAGACAATGATGCACTAGTTTTCAGCCTAGATCATTGGGTCACAATAGGCATCGTAACCAGGGACGGTAGTCAAACGTCACCAGTTGTGCCAAACCGACGAACTTTGAGATGTGGAGTTGAGAAGTCTTGCCTGTTCTCGGCATTATTACCAACGGACATCGACCCAGGCAGGATGCGGGATTGGACGATAGGTGACGTGTATATTATAATGTTTCTTAAATCAGTGGTCCAAATCGTTGGATTATGTTATTTTCTCCGCCTCAAGCGTGGTTAGCTATGAGAAACTGGGTAGCAGTGTGAGGGACTCAGCTGAATCAATAGATGCATAGGTAATCTATCACCAAAAGACTAAGCTAAACAAAGAAAAGGAAGAGATAACATGAAGCCATCGTGTTGTGTTGTCCTTTACAAAGAGTCACCTGACTATCATTCCCTGATTGTCTGAACCTCTATCCGTGACAAGCAGAGCATTCATCATTCTTTGCCTACACGCCCTCTAAGCTCATCAAAAATCAAATAGAACTAACGAACTCCACGGGAATTTCTCAGCAGGCAAGACCTACCTAATGCTATAGAACCTCAATCTCCTCAAAGTCATCAAATATTTCGGTCAATACCGTCCCTGCCTTTTATACAAGACTTGGGGTTGTCGTTCATCTACCAATAAAAACATGGCTTTATCAATTAGGGAGAATGGCCTGTTGTGCACACCTGGATCATAGAAAAATATTGTTAAATAGTTAGCACCTTGCGCATATTGGAGTAAAATCAATCGTTTCAAGTCATTCCCAGCCAAAATTTCACCTTTACATATACAACCTATCGTTTTCGGATGAAATATAACACACACTCTGTACATGCAGCTTAATTAAAGCGCTTGTCGCAACAAGTAGGCACAACTACCGGACAGAATGATGGCAAATGCGAAAAAATGCTTTGCTACAATATAAAATCCAGGACAGGTCTAAGGTCCCCAATGTTCACTCTTTATTCGACCCGGGTATACTTTCCTCAAACAAGGTGACTTTTCAAGACTTCGGAACATGGCGTTTTGCTGGCCTGTCGGAAATGATCTCTGCTCTCCGCTTCCCAGTACGTACGTCATACTTTATAACGTAGTCACGTAGTTTATCCACGGAAATCCGTCCTTGTTCGTCTTGGATGCCTTGGCTTGGGTTGTCTTTTTTCCCAACCAGGACGAGGCGTTCAGCCAAAGCGACCTCACAAACTTTGTTCAAATCCGGAGCCCCGACCCCGTAGTCGTTGATTATTAGAAAGTAATGCTCTCTCGAGAGATCTTGGAGCACGGAACGTAAGGCCAACCCATCCTCGGCATGGAATTTGTAGTACCTGCGGGATTCAAAAAGAAAGAGGACGACCAAGCTTGTATTGCACGAGGCATACCACATCTGGAGAATTTCTGCGACTTTCCTATGCACGCAGATGTCTGCCCTAGTTTCCAGTGGAGCCTTGCAGATGATGTCCTCAAACCCTGCCGCCAGAGGTACATCCTGCTCCACTCCCTCCATGTCATGGACCAGAGAAGCTGTTTGCCTTGAATTAAGCTCCTCTCTGAGGCGATCTGGAGTTCCTGGTGGATGAGGGAGGAGTTCGATTGGACTCTCATCCGCAATTTGGTCATGGGGTTGTTCACTCTCGCTACTAGGCTGCTCATCTGGGTCGGAGGCTGGTATGGTTTGTTCTGGCGCTGGCGCTGGCGCTTTCGCAAAAATGTCGTAGAGAGGATGCTTTCCAAAAAAGGAGAAAAATATCTCTCTTGTAACAGCAAACGAAGTCGGATATCGTGCGCATGGCTGGTCAGCGCTGTATATATGCTCGATAAATAGATGTGAGCGATCGCGCTGATGCTCATCCCATAGCGGACAATTACTTCTGCGACGTGACATTTGCTCTACCTTGTCCGTAGCGAAATCCGGTATCTGCGACTGTACTTCTTTCATACGTGACAGGTGGCGCCAAAAGTCTTTTAAACTATTCGTCATCACCTTAAGCTTGGCTTCGTCAATCTGATAAAAATCCTCTGTGCAGATAGCCCGTAAAATTCGATCAGAATCGGCGCGCTCAAAGTCTTCTCGCCGGAGCATATTAATCTCGGTTGACGAAAACCCAAGCTGCCGAGCCAGTATTGCCATTTTACCAAGGCTGCGCCTTTCGGTGGACCACGATGTTGCCAACTGGTTACATTTGGCATCGATGTGCGGTTTGACAAAGTGTCTGAGAGTGAATAACCAAAGCTGTGTCATGCCAAGTGAAAACAGATTGACAGACGTTGGTGCTTCTTCAAAACTATGCTCCGACATCTGGACTGCGCTTGCCCTGTCCAAGTTGTCCAACTTCCAGCGTTCAAGCAGCGCCTGCCTTACAGTTCCCTTAAATTTCCGAGGAAGCAGACTGCGAAATGCCTTTACTGGCCGTTCTAGATATAAAGTATCTTGGACGAGAGTGTTAATGGACAGTATTCTTCCCGAAATCTTAATCAATTTGTTTTGTAGAGTCTCTCTTTCCCCTTCCCCGGTTATGAGAGGGAATATTCTCTCCGTGCGCATAAGCTCACTGAGATGATTTCGGTCTTCAAGTGAATACGATGGCATTAAGCCCTCCACGAGCCGCACGGACGTCGAGTCCACCAGGTACGCAGTGTCCTCTGAGAAGAGAAGGGACCATGTCCGATGGATCTGGCAGAGGTAGTTGTAAATGGACTATTTGAAAGAAGTTAGCATCCTATCAACAAGTATTGCCAATGGTGCTATACTTCGTGACACCGAAGCCAAAGAATTCTCTCCACTTGGGAGGTCCTCAAAGGATCCCAAAGACCGATATAGGGCAGCAATCTATCAAAGCCCTCACAGAGAAGCTTGTTTCGTTGCAGTCGACGAATGTCCTTTCGACGCTCCTCAGATTTGAATCTTGCCCACCACTTCTGTTCCTGGGCAGTATTATGCAAAAGCTGATACTGCCGCAGAATGCGATAGATCTCTCCGTCCTTGAAACACTGCGCATTTGTAGATTCTTCGCGGAGCTGAGCCAATGCATCGGTGGAGATTTCTGGTGGCTTTAGCGACGCAGCCCTTGTAACTCCTAAGGATACTTACCATGTAGGTATAGGTCCACCAACCACCGATCTTCTCCAAAGGCTTCCCCAGCCTTCAGCCGATGCTTTCCATAGACGCATAGTAGTTGGATGGGCTCGGCGAACAACAAATTAGGCGGATTTATACGATTAAAAAGGGCTTCGCGGGTGATGCCTGTATGTACAAGGCTGCTCTGCAGAGTTTGCTCGCTGATAATAGCAGCCACACGGTTCTCAGGTTCCAGATTGGCACATCCTTCAAGATGGAAAATATTTAGCAGTCTCTTTATGTTACCTTGGTCTAGTGGCCTTGATCCGAGGACAACTTCACTCTCAAAACCCAGATGACGTATTTCTATCGTTGCACATCCACGATAGCATTGCAATCTTTGTTGGGCCAATAGATTTGCCCTATGGCCGAGTGTATTATTGACCAACTCCATGTTGTCCGTGGAAGATCCGGCGTCAGACAGTTCTATAAGTAGGGTGCGACCCATTTTGGTACCGCAACCGCAAGCCTGCTCGCACTTACAAGCCTCTTCCCACTCCCAAGTCTTTTCCCACTCCCGAGTCTCTCTGCATTCCCAAGTCTGTCTGCACTCCCGAGTCTTTTCCCACTCCCTAGTCT